TGATTCTGTATTTTATATACGTCGACTTGTGTATCCACGGAACGGTTCTTGAATCGCTCTTTGCATGCCAATTAACGCCTGGCTTGGGGCTGCGCTTTGACTTCAATTTCTATGCTGAATTCAATGTTTGCTTTATACATTATTAATTGCCCGCAAAAAGACTAAATGGTTTTTGCTCTTTGTTTACACTGCCCTCTTTCTCTATCTCTCTCTCTCTCTCATAGATTACTCTCTTTTCTCTAGCTTGGTCTTACTCTGTCGGTCCATCAGATTCCTTAACCCATTTTCTAACCACATTTCTTTGCTAAGTTTGTCATACAAAATTCCATGACTTTGACTTCGATATACATATACATTTATATATATTTATTTTATTGTTTTTCCTATTTCTCCCCCTTGTTGCACCTTGAAGCAAGTCTTTTTATAACTTTCATTCATGCAAGACATTTGTTTGTGGCTTTTTTTTTTGTTGTTGCGACTGCTGCTGCTGTTGTTGTTGTTGTTGTTTTCTTTGGTATTTTGCGGCTTCTACTTTGTCAACATGGTTTGTCATGGAACCGTTGTGGTTGCTGTTGTTATTATCATTGTTGTTGTTGTTGTTGGCCAGTTGGAGGTGAAAGTTTTTGTTCAAGCTGTTTAAGCGTGTTCAATCAATTTTGTTAACGTTTGTTAGTTTTATGCTGCAGCAAGTGTTGTTGTCCATAATGCTCGAAACCATTCATTTAAAGAAATGCCAAATTGCTTCTATTAACACATTTATAAGGCATAAAAACGTCTGCAGAAACTGAATTAGAATAGCTTTTGATTCGAAATACATTGGAGTATATAGAAAACTAAGAATAACTCTTGACTTGGACTTGAAAAGAGGTCACCAAGCAATACTTAATTGCGCAAATATATTTATTTTGAAAACCATAATTGCTAGAAAAAATAATCAGGTAAAAATAAATTAAAACATTCATATTTATTTATTAATATTTTGAGAGCATACTAAAATTCTGTTTACTTCTAAATTTGTTTAAATCATTTATTTTTCAATCGATTCCTATGTCAACTTTATGATATAGTGCTCTTATATATACAATATCTCTTATTTCATTCAATATATAGTTCAAAATACATACTTTTGAGTATTGAAAAAAATATCCAGGCCATTTTTGTCACACTGTGAATTTTGTCAGCTGTTAGCCGTGACAGTTGCAGTAATAATCATAATAATAGTAATAATAACAGGATTGAGATTGCAATTTGTTCTGCTTTCGTGGAGTTTACAAATTAGATGCCCATTTGGGTCAGGTAAAAGTAATACTAATGCTGACAGTTTAAAGCAGCTGCAGCTGTTGCATGACACATGCAACATTCCTTCGATCGCGGCAAGCGGCAAACCCAACCTCAATTTGCATATATGCGCCTGGATGGGTATGCAAATTGATTTCATTTTCGATTATTGCATCATTTTACCTGATTTTGCGTCACTTTTGATGCGTTTGTCATGTTGAGCGGCAACCCGTTGGCACCTGTTACCAAATACCCAATCAAATCAAATCAAATCAAAATCGCATTTAAATGCGCCACAGTGTACCGTTATGTAGCATGCATACACACGTTGAGGTTGCTGACCACTGAGCGAAACGAAAGACTGAAGACACGAACCTGCTGGAAAGTTCAGCGCCCAAGTCAATCGCTCTTCGCAGCGTCTTTAGCAGCTGGCTTACTTTTGATTTTTTTTGGTTTATACAACGGCAGCTTGTCAACGGTCAATAAACCTGAAAAGGTACTCGAATTCTTGGCAAAAAGAAAGTGAAACGCCACAAAAAAAAAATCACACACACACGCGAGCATACAAAAGCACACACACACACACACATATTTGAGTTTCTCCTTTGCTGCAAACCAGTCGATGACTTTTGTTGTTAATGTTGTTGTTGGCTCTTAACCGAAATAAGCAGCAGCAGCAGCAGCCGCAACAACAACAGTTGCTAAATGGTAATCTAGCTCTCACAGAATGATTCAGCAGCGCAATTCCGCTCTCAGCGCCAGTTCCAAGCCCCAAGCCCATAATATACAAGTACATATACCTATTCATATACATATATAGGTCTATGTATATATATATGTGCGCAGTGGAAAGGTAGAAGAGCCGCAGACAAACCGCAAATCACGAAGAGACTTTCTCAGCTTTTTGACCGCGTTGAAAATGAAACGCATATTGAAGAAAAAAATAGAGGGAAACCCCTCAATGGGAATGAGAAATGGGTGGCAAGGAAAAACAAATTAAATAATATTATGCTGTACATTTGACCAGAAAGAACCACTGGTAAAAGCACCACCACTTTGCCATTCGTTTTTTTTTTTGTGATTTTCTACACTTTCTAATTTCTGTATTTAATAAAAAAAAATATTATTGCTTATGTGCAAGTTAAGTTTATTATTATTGGTTACACTTGTGTTTGTTTATTTATAAATAAAAAGGTGCCTTTAATTGCCATCACACTTAATGCGATTTCATTGCCAGCCGCAAAAGTAAAAGTTGCGTGCTAAGTGGCTAAAAAGAGAGTAAAAACAATAAGCGATACGCTAAGCATACTTACCTACTATCCCAATCAAATATCAATTAATTTTATATAGCAAATAACATGCTAAAGCATTCGAGCATAAAAAACACAAGACACTGAATAACAATGCAAAACGATGGCATGCTTATGTTATGGCAATGTTATATCACATTATATGGCGTGTTCATAATAAATCTTAAAGAGAATCGAGTGCTGATCAGCGATATTTATATATTCTTTTTATTGATTCAATAATCTTCTTTTCGGCTCATATGTTTAAAAAAGAGAACTTGTTGCTAAAGAATTACTTTAAACTATATTAAATATAAAATATATATATATCGAGTATTTTTCTTATAGTTAAACGTTCACTACTTCTGTATCTTCTTATTGTATCTGATTATAAAAATAATTTAAGTGCACAGTTCAACTTTGTATTTACTGCTCACTAAATTCTTGCTTAATTTGCATATTGACACCGTGTCGCAATCAATTAAGACTGATGGCTCAAACACGTTCCATTCGTACAAAATCAGCTGCAAAAGAAAGAGTGAGAGAGTGCGAGAGAGTGAGAGAGAGAGAGAGAGAGAGAGAGAGGGGGAGACAAAAACAGCAGAGGTTCCCATGGAAAGATCAAAGTGCTGATACACGTTCCTAACAGCTTTCTAAATTTACATAGTCACAATAATTTGAAAAGCGATCCACATTCAGTGGAACTGTGTCGCAAGATCGATCGAACCATGATTAATTACCGAATGATAATGCGATGAGTGTGTGTGTGTGTGTGTGCAAAACAATTTACATTTCCATGACAAGCCCAAGGCGATAAAAGAAAAAAGATGCTGAAGATGTTGACCCATTCCATTGGCCTGCTTGTGGACCGCTAGCTGCTGGCAACAGGTTGTTGCTCAATTAAATGGAGATCAATGCAATCGCTCCCATGCTCCTCTATTGGCATTCTTTCATCTAACCAGCTATCTGTGGCTTTTTCATTATTATTTGTTAACGGTAATATGTTGCATGACATCTGGGAGAACCGCTACAGCTGAACAGGTTCGCCTTGATACAACATAAGCAAAAAAAAAAAACACAATCAGAAATGATTGCAGAACTGTTTCTCTATTTAAGACGGTGTGCTGAGAAAAAAAGCGCTAATTTCCCATTTGAATATCGATCCAGATTCAGGAAGTCTTTCTCTACGGATGGCTCTAATTGCACTTGCCACCACTCTGGCCGTACTTGAAGGCGGCTTTCTTTCACATATATGTCTATGTTCTCACTTAGCATCTGGCATCTATCTGCTTCTTTCATTAAATGAAGAGATCGTTTGGATTGGGTGCTGTCTGATGTTGTTTTGGCTTCCTCATTTCTTTAGCCGCTTTCGTGCTGATCTCTAATATGGCCCCTGCGAACAGGTTCGGTTTGACCGAGACTCTCTCAACAGTCTCTGGCACTTTAATTGTACGCAGTTAGACTTGTTTCTGTATTTTTTTATTGTTAATTTCGGAAGTGGCTTACAAAAAAAAAACGTTTTAATTACGCGCAACAACTTTCATATATATTCTTCCATTGAAATTTACATTTGTCGTGTGAAATGCTGTTATTTATCTGCCTGTTAAATGTAAATGGTTTCTCTTTATTGGAGAACAATAGAACTCTTTCAAACTATGCAGATGCTCAGAGTTTTTATTTTTGAATTTGATGAGTTAATTAATTTTAATAAGATCTTGAATTTATTCTATTTTATATTCAAAAATTCTTAGAATTTTAAATAAACTATGGTAATCTACAGTGGCTTTGGAAATATATTATTTGGTAATTAGTTGTAAAATTTAAGCTTACATATGTTATGAAGATTGCTCTATGTTAATAATGATAACCATTTCAACTTACCATGTCTGCATTTATTTAATTCTTATAAATCTAACCTTCTTGTCTTGCTGGGCACTCAAAATACAAAATTTGTGTGTTTAAAAGTGTTGAACTGGATGTCGTGTTTATCTAAGATTAATCCATTTATATATCTTAAATATAATATATATTTTTCTTTATTTGTATGTTCTTAAGTGTGAATATTTTTTTCGAAAGCTCTTTAGCTGCCTTTCACAATCATTTTTTATGTTATGTCATTTAAAAAAGGCCTTTATGGAATGGGCAAACGCATGAACTTAATGCATGAATTAGGCCAACTATTTTCATGTAACATTTGTCACAACAACTTTTGTTGTTTATTTTGGTTTAGCTTCAGTTTTCGGCTCATTTAAATGCTCGTTTCGTGCGCAGGTTCAAGCAACTTGGCTCGTCTGTGCGTTGTCCATGTGAAAGTGTTGTTTGGCGGGTTGTTTGGGTGCTCTGCACTTGGGGTCTTCCAATTTGAAATGCAAGAAATGAAAGACTTAAGACACAAACTATGTTTGCTTCTATTGTGGTTTTGCAGACAACGCCATGTTTGATCAACGCAAATTGCACGCCTACCTACTGCTCTCCATAGTGGCCAGCAATTGCCTGCTGCTCACCTACGCCTATCCCCAGCAGCAGGTCTACCAACGCCAGCAGCAGTTGACCCAATCCCAAGCTCAGTCGCCGGTTTATCGGGCCGAGAGCAGCGCTCGAAAGTTTGCTGTGAAACCGAATGCATCGAAGAAGGTGGCCTTAGATGACATCGAGGATGATATTGAGGGCAATCAGATACAGGAGAGCGTGGGCGGACCGGGTGGTTTTACCTGGTCCAATATGTTGTCCACAGTGATGACCATGTTCTTCAACAATGCAGCCAATGCACCAACCAAGTCGGATGATGTCGACAACTCGATTGGACTCGGCGGCAGTCCCTGGGCTAATGTCATCTCAATGGGTAAGTTTCCAATAATTGAAATGTGTGTAAAATATATTCATTTATTTTGTATTGCAGGCCTGCGCATAATTAACACACTGTTGGGCGGCGGTGCGCCCAGCGATGGCATCGATAAGGTCGACAATGGTGGCTCTCCCATGCAGGTAATTTCCAGTCAATTACTCTACAATTACTTATTTTTGATCGCTTTTGTGCCATTTAATTTGAGGAGTTGTATTTTCATTTTTTATTTATACTCATCTGGTTTTGGGTCTTATTATTTTTTTGTTTTGTATTATGTATTTATTTCCTGCTATTCCTCTACCTAAAAACAATTCGCACAGGGCATCTTGGCGGCTGTGCTGTCGTCCGTGTTGGGCACCAGAGATCCAGATCAAGTCAACTCGATGGCCAAGCAAGCTGGCGAGGTAAAACCATTATTGCTTACACACCTAAACCCACACCAAATGCACTATGCAACACAGACAACATTTCTCCCATAGTCTCAATGTTCAAATAAAAAGTATTGGTTTTTTAAATATTTAACTTTCTTTAATTTGCAATTCATGAACTATCCGTTATACAATTCATTTAAATCAAGAGAACATTCAACTCTTGCAGAGCTTTTGTTTAATGAGATTCTTAATAATCATTTCAAACGGTTTATTTTCTTCCAATAATTAAATCAACTTCAAATTAAATAAAAGAGCCAAAGGGAAATCTCATCAATCTGAGTGAAACTAAATTAATTTATAACCCGAGGAATTTCATTAGGAAAAGTATAGTCAAATACATGTTGCATAGTGTTGTCAATGTATATTTGTTTCAAGCACATACACACACACACAAACACACACACACTCACACACACAGATTGACTCATACATTCAGACAGGCATTTGCTATTCTTAGTTTAAGTTATAGATATTGGCACAAAACTAATTGACTAATGCTTCCTCCTCACACACACACTCACACACACACACACACACACACACACACACACACACACACACACACACACACACACACACACACACACACACACTTTGCCATCATTCTACCAACAACCAATCTCGTCGCTCCCAATCCACAGTTCATACAGATCGTGATGAATCTGCTGGACGCGTTGAAGACCTCTTTCTCACATCGCTCGCTCACCGCTCGCTCCCTGGGCAAACGTGACTCGGTGAGCGATGCAACAGTTGCTGGCATTGCGCTGCTCAAGGGGTATGTGCGCACCTATCGCAACGCGGAGGACAAGTGCATGATGCGCTATATGTGCGATGCCAACACGGATTGTGTGCGTGAAATTGGCGGCAGCAGCATCTTCTGCCAGCTGGGATCGTGAGTGTTCTTTGGCCATCTGTATACAATCAAGCCCTAATATATTATAAATTGCATTGTCTTCACAGGTATGCCACTAGTTATATGCTGGGACGCAGCAGCAATTCCAGCTTTGAGCAGTTGTACGATGCCGGTCGCAGGGGGCGTTCCGGATTTGATTGTCGCCAGCTGTATCTGGAGTGCAATGAGGTCTAATGGGCGTTGAGAGTGCTACGAATTGCTTGCGTTTTAGTGCTTATGACTGGACAACTTAAAGTAAATTAAATTAAATTAATTTATGTGCTTACTTGAAACTAGGATGTAGCTATTTATATTATTTATTTAAATTCTGTATTTATTTACAATGTTTTTTTTTGCGTTTGCATTTTCTGCAAATGACATCGATGAAGAATAATTAAAACTTTACATCAAATGATCGAACATTTATTTGACTTCTATATCCGACTGGGAAATTGTTGGCTTAAAATATTTAAATAATTCCAAAATATAACGAATTTATTGCATTCAGCAACTGCTTGAAAGTTACAAATTGAACTGCTTGCTATTTTAAATCATAGCAAGCAGCTTATGTCTGTCAAACGGAAGCAGTGCATATGCAAGAATGTTCAAGCAGTGCAAGGTTAAGTAGAAAGCAGTCGAATAACAAGCAGTGCACCGTTTGAATTTGAATTTGAGAGACAGTTGATTGAAAGCAAACTTTTTAACTGATGAAAAGTAAATAATTGAGTTGAACTTAATTAGCCAGTTTGAACAATGCGCAATTGAAGTCCTTCTGCAATTACACGTACCGCCGCCCATGCCAGTCTCATACAAAGTCAGCTGCTGCAAATGCTAAATCCATTCTAGTTCCGAGGCCAATCACTCTCTGGGGTCTACTCAAGGTTAGTCAAGTTAGTAAAAGTTTTTTAGCCGTATAATGGTTTTTGAAACTGCGCAGCTGCAGCTGCAGCTGCAACTCAAAAGTTTCTATAACCTGGCAAATTTGGATGCACTGCTGAAATTTATTACACAGACTGACGAGGCGTCGTCAACGACGAAAAGGACGACCTCATTCAAAGTATATGCAAATGGAGACGTGCTATATGTGTGTATGAAGATATCTTCATGTGCCACACACAAATCTAACACACATTTAATGGCCCTAAGCAGCAGCAGCAGCATTCAGTGCAAGGTGTGATGAGCAAAGGGGTTAAGTGGGGGAGGGGTTCATACTCGGATTTCAAATTCGCCAGCAAATGAATGCACCAAAGCAACTGTAACAGTGAGAGTAACTGCAACAGCAGTGGCAGCCTCCAAAGTTATGATTAATTTGTGCCAGCCAAGTTTTGCCGTTTACCGAAAAGTTGGCCATCATTTATGCCGATGTTATTGCTGCTGGTGCTGCTGGTGCTGATGCTGCTGCTGGTGCTGCTGTTTGTTATTTTTGCTTTAGTTGTCGCAATAAAGTTAGCAACAACTGCACTAATTTCGCCACTATCTTGGCCAACAGCAGCGTTGGCAGTAATTAAAAGAAGCTGCTGGCTAGCTGGCAGAGACTGACTGTAACGCTTAAAATTCCATTCAATTACGCTGAGTGTTGAATATATTTGAAGCGCTAATTAGAACTCGAACTGGCTACAAAACTTTTCGGACAGCCACTGCAATTGTCGTGCTTTCGTCGCTGCAATTTATTATTGCCCGCCATTGCCGCCATTTTTGTCCAGTCATATCCCGTTCTACTTTCTGCATTGCACGCGGAAACGGAAACAGGCGAATTTTTCAATTCGTCTGGCTAGTTTCCGTGCAAATTGTTTAATTTTTTGTGTGCCAGCTGTTTGTAATTTCATTTAAAGTTAGTTCACGTTTGCCAAATGATTTGACCATTTAAGTACTGCATAAGTTGCCAGTCAGGTGTGTTAGAGGACATACAACTTTTTGGCTTATCCTTAGCACTTTATTAACTTAATTGAAATTAAAGCAAATGATTATTTATGTTAGGCACTGAAGGATGTATCTGATCTATTAGCTTAGTTAACATCATCGTAAAATAATATTCAACTGTTGCATCTGTACAACATTCTAGGTAGGTTTAATACATTGAATAAAAACAAAAGATTTCCTTTTGCTGTGCAGGACAATGAAATGTCCGAGTTAGAAACATTTTCCTCGACTTCTACTTGACTCCTCTTTTAAGAGGCATGCATTTATAGGCGTAAAAATTGAGCAACTCAAAAGTAGACATTTTTTGGGAACACACGAAAAATGTTTATCAATTCGTATTTAAAGATTTACAAAATTCGAGCAAAACTGAGTCCAAATATTATATGTGGGATGGCTTTTGATCCACAGATAGCTCTTGACTTGACAATTTGGTGTTTTCGACTTGTTTTTGATTACATTTTTTTGTGTTTCTTGATAGCCCACAATCTTAGCATGATCCTCGATAGAGTTTACCCTAATGCATCTAACTTATGTTCTTTGAAAATCTTATATAATTTGGCCGATTTAAAACCCCTTTTCTCATCTCCCGTGTGCTCCTAAAAATGTGTGCTGTATTTTGTTTTTATAAGAGAACTTAAGCAAATTCAGCAGCCATTCAACTACCGGCTTAAGAAGCATTCTGCAAATAAACCATTGAGAGAGAGTTAAATTTAACAAGATGAAATATTTTGGACGCGTTGTCTTCTGGGCAGAATAGAGCCGACGGGCACTGAAAAAACATGATGCACTTTTTTGACGATTTGATTCCTCTATTATCTGCTTAGTTGTGAAACTCAAACTAAATTATCCAGTTAGAATTAGCATAAGACTCTGCAATATATCAACTAAATTTAAAACCTACTCCCATTCCAATATCCATATTTATGGGACTATTTTCGTTGGCAATATTTAAAGAGACTGCGTCTGCAATAATTATTTTTTTGAGTAAAAATTCAATTCAAATGTATGTCAAATTGTTTGTCAGAGCTGTCAAAACAAAGCTCCGCATAAAAATGAAGCATTTAAGGCAGTTGGAATTAAATGGCAAAAAGTGCTCAAAGCTGTTTGAATTGTTCGATGAGGCTTTTATTGACTGCACACAAACAGGAAAAAATAAAACAAAATAAAACAAAAATAATAAAAAAAAAAATGAGAAAACTAAATGCGACCAAAAAGTGAGCAATCTGACGATTGCAGAGTAAACAAAATCAAAATTTTGCTTCAGCCGTGACAGCTTGGCACAGTTTAGTTGTTGATGTTGTGCACATATTTTAGGCTTTGGCTTACAATTTTTTCTTTTAGGTTAAATTGCTTAAATTGTTGCCACAAACAAACAATAACAAGAAAAAAGTTCTATTAAAAATGTAATGTTTGCATTCAACAATTTCCTGCCAGCAGCAGCAGCAGCAGCAACAACCGGAACACTACCGCTGCCGCTGACAACTACAACGGATTGCAGGCTCAATACAGAAAAACAAAAACAACAAACACAGGGAAAATGCCTGAGAGCAAAAACAAGAACGGAACCCAAACAAACCGCAACTCAACTCCACGCCGTGGGGCACTCTGCGGGTCGCCGAGCTGCCATTTAAATCGATACACTAGAAACGACACAAAACCAATAACGTGTGACACTGTGCCAAATTTGCTTTTTGGTTTTGCCGTAAACCAGACGCAAGTTGCCCGACTTTACCGTACCGTACCGGACTCTTTCTCACTATACCACGAGCCCATTATCCAAAGGCCCCCAAGCGACATGAACATTTGCACGTGTATGCCACACTGTGTGTGTGTGTGTGTGTGTGTGTGTGTGTGTGTGTGTGTGTATGTGTGTGTGTGTGTGTGTGTGTGTGTGTGTGTGTGTGCGTGTGTACGTGGCCCATGTCAATGGTTGTCAGCATCACAGTGAGCAGCGAAAAACGCGACGTTATTGGCTTTTGGGCGTCACCATCAGAGAAGAAAAACAAAAACGATATAAAAAAAAAATGAATATAGAATGAATGAAAGAAAGCAAAATCAGGAGGCGCCACATCGAGAACATCCGCATCCAATTTTGAGCTCCAAAAAGAGTGGCAACAGTCGATACTCCTATATTGTATATGTTGTATAAGCGGACCTTAAACACGAAATTTTGGCGTTGTTTTTACTTTGTTGTCGACAATATTACAGATTATGTTGTACGCCTTGGAGCCAAAAAGCTGAAATCCAATACGATTCAATCTATGGTTGATTTGATTAAGACAACAGACAGTTGCAGAGCTTTAAGTTGAATGGTTGCTATTTTTTGAAGATACACATTAATATTTATGTTGAGTTCTGGACAGTATCTGAAATGATGATTTTTGACTGTTTTTATCCTGAATTCCTCATCAATTTTGTTTGCTTTTCAATCATTTCAATGCTTGAGTTCTAGATTGTATGCAGCAATGCTGATTTTAATCTGTTTTCGATCGTTTCTTATTAATTTCTTTATATTTTTATCTCCTATTTGTAATTTTAATATCTGCCTTAAAATTTCATTTTCTAAAAGTTAAGATTGACTCTAATAAATTGGATTTAAAATGAAGCTAATTTTTCATTTATTAAAATTTATATAATGAGTTGAAAGTTTAATAAAAATTACACATGCAAATTATTTCAAATTAAGTTAGAGTAAAATATCATTCTTTTTCTTATCCCATTAATATACTTTTGTACAACTAGTGACTTCTGTCAAGATAAATTTCGTTTAGTTTTCGCTATATCCCTAAGCAATGTTCACTCCATTTGCTCACCCATGAAATATTCAGTTTTTCTCGTTGAATTCGGGCCACTTTGTGCTGTTAAAATTTTCAAATTTTGGGATTAACAAAAAAATGCCAATATTGTGTGGATAGTGGAGAGGTGCTCCAAATTCGTGCGGAATTTGCTGGTGCTCGGGTCACGTAAAGTAAATTATTAAGAATTCTTTGTTATATGAAATGTGCGGATTTAAATATTGAATTATTCAAAAGGGGCTGGCAACCCTAAATATTTAATTGAAATGCGAATCCATGAGTACAAAGATCTACAACAGCGCGGAAGGAATTGGTCGCCATCTCGACACGTGTGCCGAATGCTGACTGCTCAATGATTTTCCTATGGTTAATCTGTGGTTTCATTTTACATTTAACGTAATGTGTTCTTTCTGCTCGGGACGGGCAGCACCTACTTTATGTAAGCGGCCAAATATCGTAATAGCCATTTGGTTGCTAACT